GCCACACTGGCCAGGGCCCAAAGTGATCCTTTAAAAACAAAAATCAGTTAATGTCACAGCTACCCCTAAGGCCCAGGCATTTAATTCAGAATAAAAGTCACAGTCCACGGACAACCCAATAAAGCCCTTTGTTGTCTGCCCCCTCCTCTTAGCTCTCCGACTTTATTCTACTCTCCTTTGCTCACTCAGCTGCAGCCACATGAGATTGGACGGACTTTTTGTAGATCTGTTGACTACACATAAGGCCTTTCTTCCATTAGCATGTGCATCAGCTGGTTTCTCTAGATAAGCAGATTTGGGTTTTCAAGGTGAAAAAGGTTGACAAGTTTTCAGGCTGATAAAAATAAGGCTGTGTCTGTATCCTCTCTTCTCTATGCCTCTCAGGTAGCATTTCCAATTCCCTTGACTTTACTTATTGTCTAGATTATGAAGATTTCCAAATGTGTATCTGCAGCTCCAAATTTATTTCCTTTATGTTTAAATAAGCTGTGTTTGGCCAAGAGACCATGAAGGTTTGATACTTGAATTTGCACCTGTGGTTCCTTCTAATTTGCATAACCCCCAATTTTGCAAAACAGGTGTGTAGAGTTTCTCTTTGAGGACAGTGGTCATCAGTAAATGCTACTGGTTGTGAAGAGGAAGGGGTCAGGAGAGAAAAACTTGATTATATAAGAAGTGACAGTGGGGGAAGACATTTTGATGTTGCCATTACAGAGACTGGTTGGGTTTTTTCATGTGCTATGAAGCTGGACCTCTGCACCTTCCTTTCATTCCCTAGGGCCTATAATCCCTAGGTCAGTGCTGCTGCTGAACTTCCTACAGGATGGATCCTCCCTGCCCTCCACAAAGAATTATCCAGTCCCAAGTATCAGTAGTGCCAAGGTTGAAACCCTGTCCTAGGTGATTTCATCAATTCCCTAGGCTTTGTGTACCATCTGAAATAGTGCTAATATGACGGCCATAGCCACATGTGGTGCTGTGAGTATGAAATACCTATGGGATTTCAAAAACATAGTATGAGGAAGAATGTTACTCATTTTAAAATGATTGTTATATATTAAATGATGCTTGGGTAATTTAACAAAATACAGTATTAAAAATGATAGTTAATTTCATCTGTTTCTTTTTACTTTGCTAAATTGGCTATTAGAAGTTTTCAAATTACAGGCTTGGCTGGTGTGGCCCAGTGGACTGAGTGTCAGCGTGCGAACCAATGGGTCGCTGGTTAGACTGCCAGTCAGCACATGCCTGGGCTGTGTGCCCGGTCCCCAGTTGGGGCACATGCAAAAGGCAACCAATTGATGTATCTCTCCCACATTGATGTTTCTCTCCCTCTCTCCCTCCCTTCCCCTCTCAAAATAAATAAAATCTTAAAATTTTTCAAATTACGTATGTGGCTTGCATTTGAGGCTCACATGTTTTTGTTGGATAACGCTGATCTAGATGAAGACTCAAATTTACATCTTTTGTCCCAAACTTCTCCTCTCCTCAAAATTCAGGGATCCAAAGACCTATACTAAGTCTTCACTTAACATAGTTAATAGTTTAGAACTGTGGCAAAACAATGTATAACAAAACCAGTTTTACCTTAATCTAATTTGATAGTAAGAGTATCTTACAGCGTTCTCTTCAATGTTACGCAAAACGTTGAATGATGACCTGCTTACCTGAGAGTTCTCCTTGTTTGACTTACTATGTCTCAAACCTGTTGTCTGAAATAGAAATCCTGAGTTTCCCCACTTTAAAATAGTTTCTCCTCCAATTACCTCCATCTGTTTAAATGGTATTACTATCTATGTAGCTGCTCCAGCCAGATTTCTTGTAATCATCCTTGATTTCTTCCCTCATTTCTTATTCCCTCATCCATTCCTTAGCATGTATTATATTGAATGTTGCCACTTCTATTCATATCTTTGTAACATAGTCAACACCATAAAATCATCCCACAAGACTACTACAGTGGCTGCCTCCTGGCATCTCAATTCCTTCCTTTTTCCCTTCTCTTCCTTAAATTTAATCTCCATTCAGTAGCTGGGATGATAATTGATAAGTATAAATCATATTGTCACTCCGTAAGTTAGCAGCTTTCAACAACATCCCATTGTATTTAAAATAAAAAGCAGCTCTGGCTGGTGTGGCTCAGTGGATTGAGTACAGGCCTGCAAACAAGGTCACTGGTTGGATTCCCAGTCAGGGCAAAGGCCTGGGTTGTGGGCCAGATCCCCAGTTTGGGGCTTGAGAGAGGCAACCAATCAATGCATCCCTCACACATTGATGAGTCTCCCTCTTCCCCCTCCTTTAAAAAGTAAGTAAAATATTTAAAAATAAAAAGTCAATTCCTTATTTTGGCCTGAAATGCTTTGAAGTATCTGGCCCCTACCCCATATAATTTCAGGTCCTTTGCTCAGTTACCTCTAACCATACTGGTCCTCCTTTCAGATCTTTATACCCCAAATATTGTCCTGCTTCAAGGCCCCATTTCTACTTGAAAGAAGCTTCGGCACAGGAGCAGGCTGTGGGGTAGGACCAGAGAATTGGCGTGTGGCTGTTCTTAGGGCTGGAGCCTTGCCCCATCCCATCGTGTTCAGTCAAGAAAGCCAGAGCCCCGGCTGGTGCAGCTCAGTGGGTTGTGGGCTGGATCCTGTTTTGGGGGCGTGCAACAGGCAACCCATCAGTGTTTCTCCCTCCCTTCCCTCTCCAGAGATGGTGGAACTGTTTGATAACCTAAGAGGACTCTTTAGTTGAGATTTGGGGATCTTAAAATGCAAAGCTTGAGTGGGTTTGTCTCCTGGTTCCACAGCTGGGCAAGAAACAGGAAGGGGAGCTGGGCTCCTTGAAGGACTGGAGAGGGGATGACAGCCGTCTTCCCCATTATCTCCCTGCACAGATGGTCACTGTGGTCACAGCACCTGTACCTGTCCCTCCATAGTGATTTTCACAGCTGTAATTAAGGTTTGCTTCTCTACTAGGAAACTCGTCTCTCATTCATCACCCAAATCCTGGCTCATAGTAGGAATTCAAATGAATTGAGGCACTTTTAGTGTGAGAGGCCTCAAGGTACTGGTATTGACATGATCTCTAACAAGAAATTTGGCCTTGGCAAATAGATTTTTGTACCCATAACATGCAATTTCTTGTGTAAGAACTGATGTTTAGAAATAAACATTTATTCCTATTCAGCAGTCTTCTTATGCTGAACACTACTTTTCCCAGTGTTATTTTGGGGTAATGAAAAGATCAAAAGATTTTAGAGATGGGGGGAGGGACAAAGGAGAGAGACATCAATGTGAGAAACAGTGATTGGTTGCCTCCTGCCTGCACCCTGATGGGAGAATGAATCCACAACCTAGGCATGTGCCCTGACTAGGAATTGAACCGGCAGGCAGCCTTTCACTTTGCAGGACAATGCCCACCTGAGCCACATTGGTCAGGGCAGCAAAGATTTTTCTAAGGAAAAAATATTTTTGATTTTGCAAGGCTTTTCCCTTCATATAAGAAACTACCGTCTAAATTGTGCTGTCCAATGCAGTAGCCACTAGCCAGTCACATGTGGCTAATTATAAGATGATAAACTCAGCTTCTCAGCTTCATTAGCCACATTTTAAACTAAATACTTAGTAGCTAGAAATTGGACAACACAGATTCAAAACACTGCCAACATTACCCAGTTTTATTGGACAGTGCTGATGTATAATTGTTGTGCAGAATCTTTTTTTCCGTATCCTGACAGTGAGATGGGAATCAAGGTATGTTAAACTGCTAGGTTAAGTTAGCACAGAGGACCAGAGATTCTGGTCAGGCTAGCAAAACCTGTAGAGATTAATTTCTTTGCCTGCTATTTTGCAGATCAGTCACGAGGAAATCCCTGTATCTTCACTTTATTCTCCCTTTTTGTAAAACAGGGACAGTCCTGTGCCTCCTCAGGGAATGCTGAAGCTGAAAAGGGCCTTGTGTACTTTGCCACTAGCTGGGGGATGTGACCTGTCAGGTTAACCTCTCTAAATTGTATCCCACCCCCTCAAAAAAGCAGGGAAAAAGTTTGCTTCACCTATGTCAGGATTCCTTCAAGTATAAAATATGTGGGGAAAATGCCACATAATTATATTTGCAGGTATTTACTGTCAATATTTCCATATAGAATACAATGAAAAGCTTAAGTAGGGTTTGAGTCCATCATTAAACTTGTTTATGGGGACATAAGTGATGGTAATAAAATAAAATGTCTAGAAATCTTCTAAAAAGTTCTATAGGACAGATTTCATTGCAAAATGTTTTCACTGCCAGTCACTAACACCCTTCTTGCTTTTCTGCTCAAAATATTACGTTTCTCTTCTTTTGATCTGTCATAACTATCTTATTTATTTTAGCCAACATCTAATCCTAGCAGAATATTAACACCACGGGAAGAGAACTCTTAAACATTGAAAAGTTAAATGGAGTCAATCTAATAGGTCCTTGGTGATGCTCTGGCTCATCCTCTTCCGGATGTGGGGTTCTCTCTGTGGGGCTTGCTTCTATCACTGGAAGAGTGCAGCTCTGGTTATGTGGAAACAAAGGGGCATATTTATCAATGTCTCACGATGCTAGCTACTTCACCCTTTGCTAAGGCCTTGTTACTTACCTCATTAAATCCTTCCTTCTACATCTAAATTTTCAGACATTGATTTTTGAATTTTGTAGCCTGAGCACAACTGAGAAAGAACCAGAAGACACTGGTTGAAAGTCAGTCAAACAAACACAAGAACATAGTTAGAAACGTTTATTTCTCAAAATATTTTTTAAAAAAAGTGGGAGGAGTGGAGTAAAACAAGACTAAATTTCAGCAAATGCTGTACCACGATCACAGGTCAGACAAAAAAAAAAAAAACAAAACAAACAAAACACTCCCCCCGCCCCCATCCCAGTGGTGGTCCTAGCAATTTCACAGGATTAGCTTCAATGTTAGAGTCCAGAGCTAACAGAGAAGAGTAAAAGGTTGCTCGCCACTACATGGTCATTTTAAAGGGTAAGGAGATGTTGCAGGTAGGGAGAAGGGTTCAACTCCTAAGGAAAGCAAGATAAAGATGGGTTCCACTGTACAGGAAAAGGGGGGATGCCAGCATAATCCTTACCTAGGGCTGCTCAGAGGCTGAGAATATAAGGAATAGAGTAAAAGGCTACAGAGACTCGTATCAAGAAGAAAGAAAAGTCAACTTAGAAGCATTAAATTAAGAAAGAAAACATAGTTGGTCACAAACTCCTTTGTTTACTGAAACATGAAGCAATGGAAACATCCCGGCAAAGGGGACCGCGCGGAGCAAGTTCTCATATATGACCGCAGCCCGAGGGTTCAGTCCACAATTATCCTACCTGAAAGAGAGCACAACACAAGAGGCTTACACAATGCCTGGAGAGCAGCTTGGCTCCGAGTCCAAGGGCTCTGGTCCTGTCCTGTATTCCAGGGGGAAAAGAAAGAACAAAACAAAGCCAAGTCAGACTGGATCAAACATATCCCATGTAATTACCCAGGAGTCTATTATGATTGTATACACATAGTACTCAATAGCTATAGTAGAACGAGAAGCAATCTATCTGGAAGACTGCTGTGTTTGTGATAAATACACATTCCTTACTTTCTTACCCATCTTTTAAGCAAGACAAACTCTATGATACAAGGCTACTGTCACTATACCAAAGGGCATACAGATATTATCAAGAACCATAATTTAATTTCTGGATCCAGAAAAAGCAGAAGATTCCAAGATCTCAAATATGGCAACTGCCCTATTCTAAATTTGTTTCATTTTAATCTTTCATAGTAAAGTTTTCAAAAAATAACAATCACACAGGGTATCAAGGAGTGTTCATTTACCCTCCAATGTCACAGTCATAGGTTTAGAGCCATAATTCTATAGTTCCCCTAATTGACCACATCTCCCTTACCAAATCAAAAGAAGAAATCCTAAAATTCTCTAATTCTTCCACCGATGATGGAAGCTCCAGACACCAGTGGCTGGGGGGGAAAAAGGTTAACTCACACCAAGCTCCTCTACTTATTACAGACAAAGGGCCAAATCTTGGTCTTGATCTGTGCCAATCGACTTCAAAAGCTGTGACGTCCTTGAATCAGTTCTGCTAGAGTGAGACCCGAATTTGGATTCCCCAACAGTTCTGGAGTATTTCATCCTGGCAGCCTCATTAACATCAGGCTCCGGGGACTGCAACCAACTCAGGGTTATTCAGTCCGTTTGAGGTTCACACCTGGAAGGTAAGTTTCTTTAAAAGTCATCACTAAAAAGAGGTTAGTTGTTCAACCACTGCTTGCAGTCAAAATTCACTTTAGAATATCCAGGCAATACCCTTTAAAAACCACATATACTAATAATCAACTTTGAAACATATTAAAGAGAAACAAGTTATCTGATAGATGATCCCACCTTACTTTAGAGGCATATCCCACTTCATGGCAGATTCAACTACTTTAAAAATAAAAATCAATAGCAAACTACACAAGCAGTAAGGTTATCCACTTCATGCTCATGAACATACGCTGCTACACAATGGCCCAGGAAATCCCAGTCTTGTCATGGTCATACAGGACATCACTTGCCACAAGTTCATGCCATATTTGCTTCTCCCTATGAAAAGGGCAAATTCCTATTGCTTTGTTTTCTTCTAAGCATACAGAAAAGGAACCCTGGAAACTCAGTGGTAACTAAGTTTAGCTTTGTCGCTTGGCCTCCCATTCAAGTGATTCTCAATTTCAAGGTAGGAGGAAAACCATGAGACTGGAAAGTTGCCATGATACCATGTCCAGTTGGATGAAGAGATTTATTTCTAGATATTCCCAATTCTCGCCATTCTAACATCTTTGGTATACATTTTCTGAAGTAGGAGAAACTGAATTTCCAGAGTCACCACTAATGGGATTTTATACACATCAAAAAATTACCTGGTTTATTTAGTTCCTTAAATGTTCCTTTTAAACAAAAAACACAACGACTGCTGGAAAAAATGGGAAATACTGGGCTCTACATGATAGCATCACTGACTATACATGGCCTAAATACCCATGCAGAATGAGATGCTCTGGGTTACTAATAAGAAAAGGATTTCATGGGACAGTGACATCAAAACATTCTGTTTTCAGGCATTTTATAAAGAAGTAGTCTTATTAGCCAGTTGGAAGTCTGAAGTTATAGTTAAAATTCTCACCCTGACATTCATTAACAACTCCTGGACCTGAACTCTTCATCTTACACCACAGTGACTTTAGTGGAAAGAGAACAGGTTTAGGAGTCAGCCAGGCCTGAGTTTGAATTGTGGCTCTAACTCTCAATTACCAGATGACTTCAGGCAAAGTACCTGACAAAGTCCCTTCTCTGTAAAAAGAGAACATATCTTAAAGGCTTATTGTGTAGATTAAATGATATACACAGGGGGCATTCAACAAATGTTAGTCCGCTTAACTATGTTTCTGTAACACAGATCTGCTTACACTCAATTAAAAAACAATAATCTCACTAACAGTGAGTTTGTTCTCTCAGAAGGGAAACAATGGTTGGAGTCATACAGTAAAACCTCGACAGGCCAAGTGAACCTCCAACTTAAGCTAGAGAAATATTTAAGACTAACGTAACCTCCATCTTTTGGATACTACTGTCCTGACAGCAAAGAGGTGGCTTTCGCTCCCCCTATGCAGCATGGGTCTCTTTCAAGGGAACTAAAGAGAGTCTCAACTGCACCCACCCCACTCTCACCTCCAGTTCTTAAAAGGCTGAGTACCGCGCTCGGTCCACATACTGCTCCCGCTCATACCGGGCCATGTCATACAGAGAATTCCGGGCAGCTGCTGAAGCCTGAGACAGCTCACTCTCTGGCCCATAACCGTAGCCCTCTCCAACTGCGGGAAGCACAGCTGCAGCACGACGAAGGGGGCTCCTGTCCCTTCCATAATAGGAGGAAGTGGTGGCAGCGGCAGCAGCCATAGCACCTGAGTTCGGCAACAGGTGTCTGTCATAAGGATCAACAGAAGCGGAGTTGAGGTGACTGTTAACAGCTGTGTTCTGGACTTGAGGCAGATGGGACATGTTCTGCTCTGCGTAGTTGTACGCAGAAGCTGCTGCTGCTGCTGCTACTGCCTCATATGAGCGGACCCGGTAGCGTTTATAGTAGTCGAGTGCTCCATATGCATCGTTGTAATACATGGATTCCCCGTAGCCCATGGTGTAAGGTGTGCGCACTGCTCCGTACTGTTCATTATACTGCTCAGTAAAGTCTGCCACGCGACCCGTACGATCTACTGGGCACTCTTTTGACCAGTGCCCCTCTTTCCCACACCGATAGCAGCCACTCTGGTCTCCCATCCCGGGGGCAGTCCGAAGGCGGCTTGTGGACAACTGCACATGCATTCGTTTGCCTTGAGGAAATAGATATAAGATTTATTATAACTCACTGGCATTCTTTTATCCTCCCTGAAAGTAAACTAGTTGGTATAAGACACACACACCCGCACACACACACCCACACACACCCCTGAGACCCTTTTTCAGCAACCACCTCCAAAAGAAGTTGAAATTTTAATACAGATAAGAGCTAGGAAATTTGACCAATATTTTTTACTTACACCAGGTAGACTGGATTCACTCCTACTTCTATCTCCACAACCACCCCCCACCCCAAAACCTGAAAACTTCCACTTTTCACTGCCAAGACTGAGGGTGTTTTTGGTGGGTTTTTTTTTTTTTGAGACTGTGAGATTTTAACAGTTCAAAACCTGCCAGTTCTTCCAAATCAAATATCCAATAAAACCTCAGTTATGTTAGATTTGGAAAGTATCTTACCAACCTTTCCCTGATTTACTCAGGGCCACATTAGGCCTGAGCATTTACCGCAGCTTAAAAACCACAGCAAACTTCTGTCCATCTTGTTTCTTCCAGCCATTATTGCAGGTGTCACAGAAGGCTATGTTGGGTACACAAATCATACCACAATCATCATATACTTATCTTCAGTACATCTAGAAGTTATAAAACCCTCCAGATTTCAATCTCACCCCCAATTTTCCAGCAAGGGTGCCTACTATGGAAAGAAAAAAAAAACCAAAAAACGACCTGACCAAGGTCTCGCAACAGCAAGAATTGTATCTTGAAATAATACTGGTTTCTTAGGGACAGTGTGTTTCCATGTAATGGGATGATTAGCATTTCATCCTGCCATCTAGTTTACAATTCTTTATAGGGGATTATCTACTTAGTAGAAAAGCGCAGCATTTATCTAAAATCCTCTGGGCACCCATAGAAACAAGCCACATCCACAGAATGACCAGCACTAGGAACAGCTAAGAGGAGAAACATTCGTTGCCTTGGGTGTGTGTACCACTAAGCCCAGGGAACCCTTTCTGATTAAAGCATCCAAGATCTTTAAAAGCAGTTTGAGAAAAGGAGTGTTTTTGGTAGTAGTCCTAAACAGCCTAAGACTTTGGAGGTCAAGTCAGTGCTTTTCAAGTTGTAGCCAGAACACAAGCCAGTACAGAGGTAAGGAACAGGCTTTGTATCACTTTAAGGGCTGCTCGGAACAAATCCCCCCCCTGCAATCAGCAAGTTGCTCTCTCTTTGACAGACCTTGTTCTGGATGCAGTTATGCGATAGGAGGCCTCGTGCTCCATCCACCATCCTGTTGGAAACAGCCCGATTCAGGACGGCAGCCAGAACAGCGCCATGCACTGACCCTGAGAGGGGAGCGGGTTAGTGCAGTATTATCACTTTAGTCAAACTCATTTCTGCCCAATGTCTAAGATTCCTACCACCCCAGTTTCCAGTAGTTACTGCCTCTAACTCAAAACCTTTTCTTAGCTCTTGCCGGTTTGTGGCTCAGTTGGTTGGAGCATCATCCCATAAACCAAAAGGTTGCAGGGTTTCATTCCGATCAGGGCACATGTCTGGGTTGTGGGTTCTGTCCTCTGCTGGGGTGTGTGTAAGAGGCACCCCCGATCGATGTTTCTTTCTCATATTGATGATTCTCTCCCTCTCTCTCTCCCCATCTATAAAATCAGTAAGTATATTTTTGGTGAGGAGTAAAAAAAGTAACACACACAAAACCCTTTCTTTAGCAGAAACAAAGGTGCTAGCACAGAGACAGCGCCCACCTCCCCACTGATACAGTCAACAGGTACCAAATGGCAACAATTCTCTGAAAGCAGCATTTAGCCATCCAATTGTTTTCAGAGACTTAAAAACTCTCATTCTAATCCTTAGATGTTAAGGGCCACATGCTAACTATGTATAGAACAGAAACACAGATTTTTGCCCCAATATATGTCGCAAATATAGTTTGCAACATATGTAAATGACCATAATATAGACTGCATGATTACAAATCACTTGTTTTTCAACCATGTACAGTGACATTAATCTGTGTGACAGACATAAACTGTGCTGCAACTCTGTCAGAGTAACCATCTAAAAAGCTGCCAATCCAGAGACTTAGAAGTACATATTTAAGAAAAAAGTTTCAATTTTACTTGCTCTTTTAACTTTTATAGATTCTGGGTGCAGTTTTTTGATTTTTTTTAAAGAAACAAAACCCAGTGATTTTTTTTTTTTTTGCTTGATGTTTCTGTCACTACATCCAATCTTTATCCTTGCTTTATATACAGAGTGGAACTTCTAAGTTTATAAATATCTGTGGCAAAATCTACCTCTTGTAGTAACTGTGAAAAACCTTAGGTAAAATTCTTTTTACCTAGAACTAAAAGATCTGTAATACAAATGAGAAGTTTCTCCACACAATCTTCCCAAAGATTGTAACTATGGTTTGAATTAAAGCCCTTAAAATTCTTATAATAATTGAAACATATTGTACCTCTCTATTAACTTAAGGAACCAGGACAAAGAAAACAGAAAATTAAATTCTACCACTCTCCTACACTTGGAGAAGCCAAAAGCTTAAGAAGATTTCCCATCCTGGCTGGTGTGGCTCAGTGGATTGAGCACCGGCCTGCGAACCAAAGAGTCGCTGGTTTGATTCTCAGGGCACATGCCTGGGTTGCTGACCAGGTCCCTGATAGCGGGTGCACAAGAGGCAATCACACATTGATGTTTCTTTCCTCCTTTCTCCTTCCCTTTCCCTCTGTCTAAAAAAAATAAAATATGTTTTAAAAATTTGGTTAAAAAAAAAAAAAAGATTTCCCGAGACCTTCAAAAGTTACTGAACTCCACTGCCAACATTTACCATAAAACTAGCCCAATAAATGTTTTCTTCTGAAATCTGGAACAGGAAAGAATATTAAAATGCTGAGATGGGCAACTTGGGGTTCGAACTGCTGAACTCCCATCACATGCCAGGATCCAGAAGGCTGGGGATGTAGCTGATACACAACAGTACATGAATTAATGCATGTTTACACACTGGGGGGAAAAACAGAAGACACCTGAACTCTTACATATGGTTCCCAATTCAGCTGCCTAAATTGTTACTTGAAAGGTTTAAGGATTTCCGAAGCAAACTGCTTGCTAACTCACTGCTAGTTCACTGCTGCTTGTGGAGAGAGAACAGATCCTGAAAGACCCAGATCCTTTCAGAAGCCATATAATGGAGGCAGAAGGCGGAAGCCTAAATGGCAGGCATTAACATATAAAGGTTGAAGAAATGCCAGAGTGGCATTCTTAAGAAGCTATCTTCATTAGATAGCTGAAAAGGCTTTATTGAAAAATGTGATAAATTGGTACCTAGATTGTATTTTCCGTAAAACTGCAACTTATTATCTAATATTAAACTTCCTCCTGTCCTCTGAAGAAAAAAAGAGCTGGTTATAAAAATGTCTATGTGTGTAACTCAGAGTAGAGTGCTTTCTCCAGAGGGATCAGGCTAAGAACATGAAAACCAAATAAAGGATTTTTCTTCTTCAATGATGGCATTTTAAAAAATCTTATGGGTCACGTGTTTCCCAGATATCCACTTCCTAAAGTAATTAAACCTGTTTTATTAAAACACACACTCCTCCCAAACCAACTTCCCCCAATTAACTGACTTCCCTATACGTTTGTCCCTATCCCTTTATTCAACTGTATATTAAAAAGGTAAGGACACACAGTATTACACTAATAGAATATCTCTGCAGTTTGTACCTGACTTTCACTGCACTCTTTTTACATTTTGCTTACTACCTGGCAAGTGAGAACCCCCATTTCTCTCTGCCATTGTCCATTCATGATTCCATCCCCTATCAAATGAAATAATATTTTTAAAGCTGTCTGAAGTGCAACAGCTTTACAAGATAATAAAAACAAATATAAATAATAGCTATCACACTTTAAATGTTTCTAACCATAATAGAAACACAGTCATTGTTATGAACACTCACTTTTCACTAAATAGTATTTTTACTGTCAAAATACTATCACCTCTATACCTCATTCTAGCCTCCCTACCATCCTGTGAGGGAAGTACCACTGGGATCATTAACTCAAAGTGGGGAAGATGAAACAAAGAGAGATTAAAACACTTGTCCAAAGTCATACGACAGTTAATGGTAGCAGGTATCTAGAACTCTTGCCCTAAGCTTTAAAAAGCAGCTAAAGGCCAGGGCACCACTGGCTGTGAACACAGACATTTGGTGCACTATCTGCAATCTTCACTATTTGCAAACTTTCTTACCCTTTCCTGGTCACCTTTTCCTCTTCCATTTCTTTTCTCCCTGTTTTCTGGGTGTAGCAGAGGACCCTTAAGTACTTCTTAACAACCCTTTTACTAGCACTCAGACAGAAAGTGGTGTTGATTTATGACCCTGAAAAGTGGCTGTAAATGTGTGGCCCAAGATTATACTGTCAACAAAAACCTTGTAGAACAGCGCTGTCCAACGGAACCTTTCTATGACATTGGAAATGTTCCATACCTGCACTAATACAGTAGCCATTCACCTCATGCCTTCTGAGTGCTTGCAATGTGTGCAGTACAATTAAGAAACTGAATTTTAAATCTTATTTAAAATTTCAATTTAAATGTGGCTAGAGACTACCATACAGACAGTACAGTTCTAGAGTCATTGGACAACCTCCTGTGGTATTAATGACCATGTATGTACCTTTATTATTGGTATAAATAACATGTTACTTGCTACAATATCTTACTGGAATCTCTTCAGAAGCAGGACCATCTTTCCCATTCAACCTAACTATTTTAGAATTTCTTTTTCCTTTAGCATTCAATAACAGGTGGGACAGAATACAGTCAGTCCCTAACTTACGATGGTTTGATTTTATGATGGTGTGAAAGTAGTATGCATTCAGTAGAAACTGTATTTTGAATTTTGATCTTTTCCTGGGTTAGCAATACATTGTATGATACTCTCATGATGCTGGGCAGTGGCACCAGGCCACAGCTCCCAGTCAGCCACATGATCACAAGGACAAACAAATGATACTCTACAGTGTAGCATTAAATGCATTTTAGTATTGACTTACGGTATTTTCAACTTCCAATGGATTTATCGGGACATAACTCTATCACAAGTTGAGAAACACCTAGTCCATGGCATGGTTTTTGGCTCTGCTTGAGCTGAACAAATTTGACCATTCAAAAGATACTCTCCCAAGTCCAGACTCACCACCCACATGTATGACACAGTGATTCCTCCATGTGGCCTGGTTCCTCTTTCCCGCCACAGCCCGTCACCCGTGGTAGTATAAACCCTACACATTTAAACTCTCAAACATCAGGCCTCCTGGGTCATAGCAAAAGCAGCAGGGAAGCCACCACGTTGATCCTCCCTTCTCCCATGAGGTACTTGTTTGTTCATACAGCCTAAACTCCCCCCAGCACTGAAATGAGTGAAGCCTGAAGGAAAAACCCAGTTTGTGATTCTACCCAGTTGCTGACAATCTAAAAAGAGAGCTGGCAAATCTGAAAAGGGAGTAATTGTGCTTAAGAGTGGTAAACATACAACATATTATTTCCAGCTAAAATAGACTGGAAGGCGCCACCCTACCAGCCTCATGGTTCTGTGTTCTTGCCTATGTCTTGAGCTAGACCCCACTCAGTTCTGCCACCCAGACCCCAGAGCAGTTCACCTTGAAACTCTGTGTTGTCGAGGCCCCTGATGGCCTCCACCGCATCCTCTGCCCGCTCCATGTGTACGAAGGCATAATCTTTCACGATGTCACATTCGATGACTGGACCGTACTCCTCAAACTTGGCCCGAAGCTCTTGGTTGGTACAGGTGGGACTGATGTTGCCCACATGCAACTTGGTTGAAGCTTTGCTCTTATTCTTACTGGCTTCCACATTGATGTTCACCCCATGCAGCTTGTAGTGGTGCAGGTTGCGAATGGCATCCTCTGCCGCCGTCTTGTCCTCTATGTGCACAAAGCCGTAGTTCTTAATGATGTCACATTCCAGCACCTTCCCATACTGCTCGAAGAGTGAGCGTATCTCCTGCTCTGTGGCCTCCCGCGGCAGGTTTCCTATGAACAGCTTCACCATCCTGACGAGAGCCTGGAAGGGAAGGAAAAAGATTTCCAAAAGTCAGGGGTGGAGCAGGCAATCTCGGCGCATTGCCTTTGGTTTACTCTTCCACAGAAGTTCCTGGCACCTTCAAGACCTTCACACAGGCACCCATTATTTTTTTTTTTTCAAGAGAGGGATAAAGGTTTGTTCTTAAGAAGTAGTGAGAGCTGTAAAATGAAAACAGGAGGTCGGGGGGCAGCACGCACTGCATCCTCTACCATCTCCATGAAATGGGGCGCCTTTAAGTAACACGGTTTGCTGTTCCACATTTTAAAATCCTCTTTGTGGAGCAGGAACGAGAAGAGCCCAAGCCAGAGCCAAGAGACGTGTGTCTGAGTGTCCCTGGTCCCAAGGTTTTGGAGGGAAATCTGTGTACCTCTCCTACGTGAGGTTTCCCCTTTCAAAACACTCTGAGAATAAAAAGGCCCCCTAGGCCCCAACCCGGGGACCTCCCCACACCCCCCCCAGAAGCACAACCCCCAGCTCCTTCGCCCCAACAAAGACTCGACCCGACCCCTGCCCCGCCCCCTCCGGAGACCCAGCCCCGCCTCCTCCCGTTGTCTTCTCCGGACCTCCCCCAGAGGAGAAACCCAAACCCAGGGCCATTTCCGTCCGCTGAGACCCGGCCCGGCCCACTCCATCCCGTCTTCGGGCTCCCCACACACTCACAAAACCTCCTCCTACCTCCGGGTGGCGGCGGCGGTGGCGGCGGCTCCCGCGTCAGAGAGAACGCTACAAAATGGCGAAGTCCGCTCGAGCCTCGGCGCGACCCGGCCCTTTCTCGCGCGCCAACTCACGCACGCGCGAGTGCGCGCAGCCTCTCCCCTCCCCTTGTGGGCCGGACGACCAATCCCACGGCCGCATGTAAATGACTGCCCCAAGGTTCGTCTCTCAGTAGTCCCGAAACGGGGGCGTGGCCAGCTGGTGACGGCTCCGCAGGACGGAGGTCAACCCGCCCCTAGCCCTGGCTAACCAATCAGCACCCTCAAAGAGGGGGGACTGGCGCTCACACGTCAGAAGGGCTCCGGACGCAACCATTGCCTTGGTGAAATCAGAAGGCCGGGGTGTCACTAACCATCACAATGGATGGTGCTACAGGGGCCTGCTGAAGCAGGGGTGGGGGGCCGGCAGCTGATGACAAAGGGTTATCTCACTGGGTGCCCTAAAAAGGGGCTTTATTAGCGGGCTGGCCAACCTCTAGCGCAGATTGGGACATTTTAGAAATACAGACGCGCCACATTTTAAGCACATTTAGTAATTTTTCGTAGAGCTTTAAACATAATTTAAAAAATTTTTTTTTTCATTACAAACGTTGTAATTCATTGGTGATGAAACAGGACCAAAGACGGCAGAACTGGGGATGGCCCCAGGAGGCATTCTATACAGGCTACCCGTAGTCATGTTGTTTGCTCATGTATACACGTAGGCTGGTTTTCTCTCTCTAGCAAATGTGTGCCCTTCACAGTTCCTGGACCGTGGTGAGCACACCAAAGAAATACTTGGTGCAAAGGCCCAGAGAGGTTTCTTGATTTGAGTGTGGAACACGGTCTGCAAGTCCACACCAAGCTGCCGGACTAGGCAACTGTGAGTCCCGGGGCACTTTTTAGCGTTCAAAATGTAGCTGTGGTCCGAGGGCACCTCCTGGTGGCAAAAGGGAAACTATTAGGTGGATTACTCACTGTCACCCTTCAACAAAGAGCAGACATTTATAAAGATTGAAGGACCGAGTTTATCTCGGAGTAGAGCATGCCAAGGTGGTTGTCAATCACCATTCCTCACTTGTGGCGGCTCCGTAGAATCTTTTCTGATACCATCAGGCACAAATTCCTGAGGCTGCCCTCTTCCTCCTCAGCTACTTGGCATATTTCTTTCGCTGAGTTCTTTCAGAAGAGGCACCGTCCTTGCAATTTTAATAACATTCATGCTTGTCTCCCACCTAATTCTATCCACCTCTCTCCTTCCTTTCTCGTCTCTGTCATTTCCAGTTTCTCTCCACAGTCAGACTTTTAAAAAATGTGTAGGGACCCCCTCACCCATTTCTGAAATAGCTTTCAATCGTCTTCACCATTCTGACTTCTCAAATGGAGGGTCTGAACCCACTATCACCCACCTTCTCACATTGCTTTGGGTTCTGTTCTCCTTTCCAATTCCCAGAATTTTCTGAGGACACCAAAACTAATGTCCTTTGAACAGTTTTCACCATTTTAAAATTTTCATTTCATTCACCACCAATCTTTTTCCCTCTGCCTTTATATTGTTTTTCTTCCCAAAGCTAACTGCACCATTCTATTTCCTTCCCCCATCTATTTCCCTGCTCATATTTATTCCCTTGTATTTCCTCTCCCCTTTCCCCATAGGCAACTATTCTAATGAGTTTAATGGGTATTATTTTGTGTTCTTGCAAGACATGTCTTTTTCCATTCTTACACATTTGCTTTTTCCATTTAAAAAGTGTTTTATGTGAAAAATTTCAAAACAGCACAGATAGAAAATATTATGAAGAAGTTTTATGGACCTTTTACCTAGATTGGCAGTTACCAACATTTTGCCCATACTTCATTTAGCCACTCTACTTTTTTTGGAACGGGAGCTGGAGTTTTTAAAAGCAAATCACAGACATAATGTTATTTTTCTTATTAGGACTTCAGGATCTACCTCTAATTAAAACATCCAGTGTTATGCTCTGTTAGTATTATTTAATATTTATATTCAAATTTCCCCTAGATTATGGCAAATGTCTTTTTACAGATGGTTTCTTCTAATATGTATCTAAACAAGGTCCACTGATTGTGCCTTTAGGTAAATTATTGTAATTTATGTAAATATTTATGTAAACTGTGCTGTAGAACTCGCTTCTTTTTTTCACTGAGTGCTATGTTGCTGTGTCATATCTAACCACTGAGTAAATACTCCATAGTGTACAACCACCATATTTTACCTAGCCACCTCTGAGTGTAGGACATCAGGTTGCCTCCAACCCGCCACCATTATAAACAAGGTTGGAATAAACATCCTTATGTTAATTATGAATGCCCTAATGGATCCATGCAAGAATTTGGGACAGCATAAACCCACGATGAAATTGGTAGGTTTTTGTCTGGAAAAACTGTACAGTCTACCCTCCCACCTATAGCACCCGAGGGGGCCTGTGTCTCAAAGTCCGTGATAAATGTTTGACATTATCCAGTTTCCTAATTTTTGCCAGTCTGATATAAAGTGACACATAAGTTGTTGCCTTAATTTGCATTTCTCTGATTACTTTTTTGGGCTTACTTTTCTGTGAATTTCCTATTCATATTTTTTGCCCGTTTTTCTTGTCAACTTGCAGGATTTTCTTGTACATCCTCTGTATTAGTCTTTTACTGGTTTCAAGTATCTTCTTTCACTCCACCAAATTATTACCTTGGTATCTTTCATTGAACAGAAATCCTTAATTATTTATGTAATCAAATTAACCAAATTTTAAAAATATTTTATTTATTTTTAGAGAGGGGGAAGGGAGGGAGAAAGAGAGGAAGAGAAACATCAATGTACGATTACCTGTCGTGTGTCCCCCTACTGGGAACCTGGCCTGCAAACCTAGGCATGTGCCCTGACTGGGAATCAAATCAGTGACCCTTTGGTTCGCAGGCCGGCACTCAATCCACTGAGCCACATCAGCCAGGACAAATTAACCAATTTTTAAAGTTTATGCTTTTGAAGTTTTGTGAAGTTTCCCTTTTCTACCCCGAGTCACATATATATTCTCCTACATTTACTATTAACGTTAATGTTTTTACCTTTCACATTTAGGTCTACAGTCCGTTTTGACCAGTGGTGTTCCAAATAGAAATATGTGAGCCACCGATGTAATTTAAAATTTTCTAGTAAACACGTTTAAAAAGTAGAATGAACTTTAATACTTTTGAAACCTAGTGTAGACAAAAGATCATTTCACCATATAATCAATATAAGAATTCTCAGTGAGATATCTTCAATTGTTTTTGCCCTCTTCAGTCTTTGAAGTCTGCTGAGCATTTTGCACTTAGAGCACATCTCAAGCCAGACCGGCCACATTGCCAGAGCTCAGCAGCCACATGTGGCTCACGGCTACTGCACTGGACAGCACAAATCCAGCGGTCCTCCTTGGAGGTGGTGTTAGCTAAGAATGCAAACATATTTTCCTCTAAACAACCAACACATTTTCATCTGTCCACATTTCCCCTTGACATGTGGTGCCTGCGTCGTCATTGTGGCTCTAACCTATCTCATGTCCCTCGCTGTTCCCTACCGTTCTGTCATCTTCCTTGCAACTTTTCTTGCACTTATGTATGGGGGTGTCTCCAAAGACTGACTTCCTGACCTTATGCTAATCCTCTTCTATAACCTGTCTGTAAGATTCCATGCACTATGGTAGCTTCAGTTGCCACGTGTATGTACGTGATACTCAAACACCATTTTCATTCCTTCCCTGTTCACGACGGGTTGCATTCTGCAGGGCCTTCACTTGGCTGCCCTACTTATGTGTATACTTTACACGTTAAAATGGTCACCTCACCATTCATTTCTCACCCCCATGGACATTGCCTCCTAAAATTTCCAATTATTGCTTCCTCCCCAACCCCTACGCTTGCCATCTTGGCGTGTAAACACCCAGATTCCCTGAACACTCCACAAGGTATGACTTTTCCTTCATATAGTGAACATTTTATATTTGTACCTGAAGAAAAAGAGGTTGTGGTGTCAATGTATTCTTCCATGACAAGTTGTTCTAGTTACATTTATCTACATGTTTACTAGAATATATCCAAATCTGCTTAAGAGAAAGGGATAATTATTCTGTGGGCTATCTGGTCTACCAGGTCTCATGGGTGGAGACCACACAGGGGCTGTGCTGTGCTGGTCCTGGGCCTGCACACGCCTGACCCTTTGTCATGGCTTGATGGCAGTCAGGCTCATCTGAGGCCATGGGCCAATAGCACTAGAGATGAGACCGCTTTCCTGGAATGATCAGCTCTGAGCCCCGAAAAGAAACGGTTGTGTGGGAATGAGAAACAAGAGCAGAGCTTTTCCTGTGGAAGGCCACCAAGGAGGCTGTTGTCCTGAACCTTCTGACTGCCAAGCCAGATGCCTTTTTTCTGCTTCATTAGATCTAGCATATTCTCCTCTGTGTATTTGTGTATTTACACACTGAGGTGGTATCTCGTGGCTTCCCAAGCTGTCATCATTCTATTGGTCAGTGGACTTGGACCCTGCTGCTCACGTGAGCCCTGGATGAACTCCCTTGATCCTCTCCATTGGCGAGGGGACCTCGTATGTGCTCTGTTCTCCACTGTCGGGCTGCGAGGGCTGAGACTAGGTTGTGGACATGCTCCTCGGTCTTTCCTTTTTTTTTGTCTTTAGTGTTTGAAAACAGTTGAGAGACTCATGAGTGAAGAAAGTTGTGCACGAGAGAAATAGTTGTTCACTGCTTTTTAACATGAACACTTCTCGTTACCGTCATCCTGACCCACAGTGAACTTCTTTGGTCAGAAGAGAGGCTTGACATTGGTCAACCCAGCAAACGAGAGGCCATTATCAAAATAATGTGGTTCTCTGAGGGCGTGGAGGCTGGGGACAGAGTAGAGACCTGACCTGCAGGGGACCAGGGCCAAAGGGAAACACATGGGCACAGCAGAGAGGCTTGCGATCAGGGAAGCAAAAACACCCAGAGGCGGTAAGAGAAGCTGAGCTGTTTAATCACCTCCTTGGCCAGACTCAATCAAGGCTGTGGTTGCCCCTGGAAGCCATTGAGAGTCTCTGGAGATGGAGTGGCCGCTCG